CCATTTTCCCCCTTCCCATCCCCCCTCCAAAACACACACACACACACACACACACACACACACGCACGGGAGCCTCCCTTCTCCGGCCATCCTAACTGTACTGCACCGGCCCCTGACCGCTCCTTGTCAACGCACCCACATATCACAGGTGTCGTACGCGTCCCTCCCAGCCTGGCGGTTACGACGTGTACGGCAATGACTCAATCCGCCAAGTCCTTGTCCGCCGTACGTAACGGCGATTCAGTCAGAGGCTTTGTTGCGGCGGCGGAAGCGGCGGCGGCGGGGCATGGGGGTCGCGGAGGTGCCAGCGGCGGCGCCGCCCCCGCCGACGCGGCGGCGGCCGAGGCGGCGGCGGGGAGCTGTGGTGGGTCCGTGGTGGTGACGGCGCTGACGGGGGGGGATGCCATGTACGGCACACCCTCAAATACCGCCGGCACCTCCTGTGCAACCACCGACGGTAGCGGGGGCGGCGGCGGCACCTCTGGCGCCGCCGCTGCCGCCGCGGCGCTTGCTGGCACGTCAACAGTATCAAAATTGCAAGGCTACCTCACCACTAGCCGCTTCCGAAAGGGGCTCGACGGCGGCGGCGGTGGCGGCGGCGGCGGCGCTAGTCGGCCTGGCGGCGGGTTTACGTCTACCGGCTATACCCCTACAAATCAGTGGGGAAATACCAGCGAAGGACAGTACGACAGTGTTGAGGCGCTATTACTCCTGGAGGCTCAGGGTCCCTTAGCGGACGGCGGCCAGAGGGCTGGTGGCGGCGGCGGCGGCGGCGGCTTTGACGAGGGGCAGGGATACACTAATCAGTGCCGTCGCGGCGGCGCGGCCAAAATACTTCCGGCGGCTGAAGCAGAGGTGCGTCTGGAGGAAGAGGAAGAACACGAACAGCAGCCGCAGCAGCAGCAGCATGCAGAGCCGGTGGGTTCGCGGGTTGACGGCGGCGGCGCCGCCGCCGCCGGAGGCGGCGCGATCGGTGCTAGCCGCTGGCGCAGCGGCACCGCGTTCGCAACGCGGTTGTCGGTCATGACGAGCCTCCGCAGTGGCCTACCTTGCGCCGCCGGGGCGCCGGGCGGCGCTAAGCGCGACTCACTCAGCGCTGACAGCGGCGGCGGCGGCGGCGGCGGCGGCGACGGCGGTGGTGGCGGTGGCGGCGGCGACGGCGGTGGTGGCGGTGGCGGCAACAGCATCTTGCGGCGGCTGTCCAGGACCGCCTCCGCCATGGTACCGTCGGCCAGATGTCGGTCGCTGCTTGTCGACGAGGAGCCGTCGCCGTCGCCGTCGCAACTCTCCGCCGTCGGGTTGCCATCATCTGATAGCGCCGCCGCCATCGGCGGCCAGCCGTCACCGCTCGTCACGTCCGCATTCGCTTTGGGAATGCAGCCGTTACACCTCTCATGCCACTCCCATCCCTCCCAACGCCGATCTCCCGCCGGCGGCCCGCAGCGACCACCGCCGCCGCCGTACGGCAGTCGACCCCATTCCGATGCATCTTCTCAGCTGTTGGACCGTGGCCGAAATGGAGGTCCCCCTCGGCCGCCGTCAGATCAGTGCATGAGTCAGGCTTCCACCTACCTTTCCACTCCGGCTACAGCAGCGGCTCCGGCGGCGGCGGCGGCGGCGCCGCCGTCGACACCGATTTCGTCTGAGTTCGGGTTCGTGCAACACGCGAGCCTTTTAGGTGGCGTGAGCAGCACCGGCAGCGTCGGGAACGTACGACGGCTGAGAGGTCCGCCGCCGCGTTCGTACAGCACCCGTGCGCTGATATCACATATCGCCACTGACGCGAGCTCTACCTCGGTCGTACTGTCCTGCTCCACTCTTGCCGGCGGCGGCGGCGGCGGCGGCGTAGCGGCGACGGCCGGGCCGGCGGCAGCAAGCCGTGCTATCGCGTTTGCCACGTCGCTACGTACGGCACCGCAGGCCGCCACGGGGCTGCTTGCCGCTGTGCGCGGCGGTGCCGTCGGCGGCGGCGGTGCCGCCACAGCTGCCGCCGGCGGTGGCGGCCGCCGGCCACCCCGACGACTTGCGACATTTCAGGTGAACCCGTCGAGCCTCAGAGCTGGTTCAAGCACATCCACGTACGGCGTCGGCGGTATTGACGTACAGGCGCCCGTCGTCTTCGCGGATTCCGTACACGATCAGCATCAGCCCCATCCACGCCAACCTGCCTTGAACAGGACGCCGTCGCAACAGGCCCCGGCGCGCCGTACTACCAGCGGCAGCCCGTTGTCATTGTCGCCGCCGATGTTGGGGGCGCGAGCCTCCGTGACGGAGGTGGCGGCCGCGGAGGCAGAGGCGCCAGCCGCCGCCACGAGTTCCGTTGGTCCGCCGCCGCCGCCGCCGCCGCCGCCGCCAGAGATGTCGGGAGTACAACGGGCAAAGATGTCCCGTCGCATGACAGCACCCAGCAGTGTGCATCAGCTGATCGAAATGGGGATATCGGTGGCGGCGGTGGCGGCAGCGTTGGGCAGCGGCGGCAGTACGGCTGATTACGGCAGCGCCTTGCCCACTGGCCGTGCCGACAGCATACGTTCCGGCACCGGCAGTACGACAGCCCCGTTGCCAGTTTTGGAGCTGCGCAACAAGTTGACGACCATCGAAGGCAGCAGCACCGCCGCCGTCGCCGCCGCCGGTCGGGCTGTTGTTCATTCCGTTGCGATGTCGGAGCCAAGGGAGACGACCGTGGCTGCTTTATCGAGCGAGGCACAGCTGACGCTCAACGCGGCCGCGCCGATGGGGACATACAGAGTGGCGGCGGCGGCGGCGGGTCCGTCTGGTTTGGCGGCGCCGCCGGCGCCTTCGCTGGGCAAGACGGGGCAGGAAGCAAGCATTGGATCGGTGGTAACGGCGTCGGGACTGCAGGCAGTCGCCGCCGCCGCCGATGGCATTCTCACGTACGGCATCAGCAGGTCCAGCGGCGCCGCCGCCGACGGCGACGGCTCGTCGTCAGATCTCTCGCCTTTGGCGGCTCGCCGAGGAGAATTCTTGAGGTCGGCACCGGATCGCCCGGCACGCTCACCATCGCTGCTGACGGGGCGGGAGCTGCCGTACACCTGCGTCACGTCGCCGTCGCCAATGGCGCCTATGGCGCTGTTGGCGGCAGCGCGCGCGTCGGGCTGGGCTGGCGGCGACGCCGCCAGCACTGCCGCAGACGCCTCCTCCGCGGCCAATGTCGATAGGTCCATTCGACGCCACCAGCCACAGCGCATTGATGCCGCGGCGACGGCGGCGGCGGTGGCGGAGGCGCGCAGCGCGATTACGGATGTGAGGGCGCCAGTCGAAGCGCGGAAGGATGGCGTAATTCAACCGGCGGTTTCTTACAACAGCAAGGACAAACGACCAACGGCCAACGGCGAAACACGGAATGGGATGGGGACGAGGGACGAAGCCGTCGATGACGATGACGATGACGAGGATGACGATGAGGACGTGGACGATGAGGAGGAAGAGGACGAGGACGATGAGGAGGAAGAGTGTTGGCATGAGATATGGGCGGTGCGGTCGACTGACCCCATCACAGGCCAACCGGCGATCGTGCTGTCCCAGGTGCGTGTGTGCGCAAGGCTGTGTACGGATGTACGCGTGTACGGTGTACGGGAGCCTGGGATGGCGGCAGGTTGGGGTTTGGTGAGGCAGGGAGGGAATTGAATGGGTTCCAGGTTCGTCGACTCGGTCATGTAGCAGGTTTCGATTCTCCGGCCCATCCACTTCCCTCAGCCGCTTTGCTGACGATGTCGACCCTCTCTGTGCCTGTGTGTTCTCGTTCGTCTCTCCGCCTCCAGACAGACGTGACCGCCAAAGTGGTTGCGGAGCGACATGTGGCGCAGGTAACCGCGCTGGGATTTTGCGACTGGATTTCGTGACTTGGGATTTTGAAGTGATGATGATTGACACGAAGCTAACGCGGTGCCTTTAGCCAACATATTGTTTTGTTTATTATAGTACTGATCTTGTTATATTGTGTGTATGCTTTTTAAGCAAGCCATGCTTTTGCCTTTAGAGTCTGAGTTTTTGCGCGCCTTCCTGTCCTCTATCCTTTTCGCTTTCGCGTCGGTCCTACCTCAGCTTTCTTATTCACTCTTTTTCTATCCATATCCATATTGCCCTCAGGTAATGGAAGCAGAGCACAGATTGTTAGAGCAGCTCTTTCCTCGTCATATCTTGCAGTACATGGCGGAAGAATGGACGAGCAATCAATTTCGAAGACAGCTTCAGCAACGGGCACAGCGCCGGACTGGGACAACAGCATCATCGGCTGAACGGCCTGTGGTTCGCGACTGCAACGCACTGGCCACCCTGCATCCACAGGTAGGTACTTTACGCAGACGTACATGTCATGTACAGCAAAGTACGAACAAACGCGTAAACGTAGCATACCAGTTACACGGGTTACAAGGACGTCCCGGGGTCACAAGCGTGGGGCCCCATGTACATGGTGTTGTTGCCCAAACAGGCAACCTGATATCCGCCGCCGCCCTCCACCAGTGCCGCAACGAGCCCCCTCCTAGAGGAGATCCATCTGTGCGCTTCGGCTGATGTGTGATGTGCCCGCGCCACGTCACGTGGTTCCAAACTCCCCTACTGCTAATGCTGTTGATGCTGTTGCTGATACGGCGTTTGATACTGTTACACTGCCTTTCAGGTTACCTTGCTGTTTGCGGACATAAAAGGTGAGTTGGCGGTTGAGTGGTTGCGGCGGTTGGCTGCAACTGCCCGATCCGGAGGGGGTTTAACCACCTGGAGGAGAGATGGGCGAATGGGTCGGTTGGGTCGGTTGGCCACTTCCCGTAGCCCTCCTGCTGCTTGCTGTGTATGTGTGTTTTTAACCACTCTTGGAACCCTCCTTTATTTCTCCCGGGGGAAAGCTACTCGCGTACGGAATCGTGTTCGGCTCGCGTCGGGATCCGTTCCATTGCCGTCCATTTCCGTGAACACCCCTCTTTGTCTTTACCCCCCTTTTCCCTTTTCCCCCTTCCAAAACACACACGCACACAAGCACAGGTTTCACCCCAATGTGCAAGGAGGTGGAACCCCGGGCGGTTATGTCCATGCTCAACGACCTGTACAGCCGGTACGACAAGATGCTGGACAAATTTGGGGTGTTCAAGGTACGGGTACGGAACGTATGTCACAATATGTTGTTATGTACATACGGTACGGCACTCTACTTCTTCCCGCGTCGTACATGCAAAACCCATGTATGCATCTGCTGGGGGCACTAGGAAACCCCCGGAGGGGCCGACATGGGAGGGCCCTATGGGATGGGCTGGTTAATCGTTAGCGGTTGTTGGTTGCATTGCTGGCAGCGTACTATGAGGAAGTTAAAACACAAGCGCGTGAGTTGTGTTTCAGGCAAACATTCGGTTGACGGTCTCCCCCTCCCCCTCTCCCCTCCCCTCTCCCCTCTCCCCTCCCCTCTCCCCTCCCTCTCCCCTCTCCCCTCCCCTCTCCCCTCCCCTCCCCCATGCCCACTTCTTCCCCTCTTTTCTCTCACCCCGCCCAATTCCCTGTTCCCCCTCCGACTCCCCTAAACCCACACACCCCGCATCATCACCCCGGGGGGGCAGGTGGAGACCATCGGCGACTGCTATTTCGTGGCGGGGGGCCTTATTGCGGAGGACGAGGACGGCATGGCTGCCGTACGGGGGGAGGGCTGCAGGGAGGATCCCCTTCAGGCTTACAAGGTGTTCGCGTTTGCAAAAGTAAGGCAACACATACATACATACATGCATTTGCCCTAGCTGAGACTTGTGGACTCGCTCTAGCGGGACCTGAGAGCCCTTCGTGGTGTATTCAATGCAGCGCCATCCCCGGATGGAGGGGCTGCGGAGTGGCTGCGTAGAGTGTTGGCAGTCTGAGTCGGGGTCGGGAGCACACAAGACTAACCGACTTGTGCTGTGTGCTCCCGACCCTTGCGCTGTGTTTCGGCTTCGGCCCCCGGCTCTCGCGGCCCACAGTGTAATCTAAGTCATACATACATACATACATACATACATACATACATACATACATACATACATACATACATACATACATACATACATACATACATACATACATACATACATACATACATACATACATACATACCCGACGCCACACGCCAACCCACTGCACACACACACACGCAGGCCATGCTGGCCGCAGCCCGGGAGGTCCCGCTGCCCACTACCGGGGAGGCCGTACAGATCCGGATCGGGATCCACACGGGGCCCGTGGTCAGCGGCATCGCGGGAACCCGCATGCCGAGGTTTTGTCTGTTCGGTGAGCCCCTTCTGAAGGGGGGGGGAAAAGAGTAGGGGGGGTTAAGGGGGAGGGGGGAAAGACGAACCACGAACGAGTGAAGCTGCTGCCACCAAGGAAAGAGAAGTAGAACTGTAGAAATGGAGCGGTAAAGGGCGGGGCACGCACATACACATGCGCCTGGTTCCTCATTAAGTGCACCTCCCCCCTCCTCTTTATTGTTCCGCTGCCCCCCTCCTCCCCCCCTCACCACCTGTCACTCCAATTAAAAAACATGTGGAATGCCGCCCCGGCTATAATACAACGGCCACCCCGGCTGCTTCCGGACTCCACGCACTCCTAGCTTTCCCCGGCCACCAACTTCTCCCCCCCTCCGTTCCCCCGCCTGCACCACCTCGTCCCCCTGACTAAATCTAAACCCCCAAGGCGACACGGTCAACACGGCCAGTCGCATGGAAAGTACGGGCATCCCGGGAGCCATCCACGCCTCGGAAGCTGCACGGCGGCTGCTTCCGGACGATGGCTGGGTGGCGACGGACGCCGTTGAGGTGAAGGGAAAGGGCGTCATGCAGGTATGTCCAGGCCAGTCGGGGTTTGTGTGTGTGTGTGGGGGGGGAGGGGGTAGGGGGGGCCATTTCTTGATTCGCCGGTCTTTGGGGAACGCTAGTGCATATGTACGTATGTATGTATGTATGTATGTATGTATGTATGTATGTGTGTGTGTGTACAGGGGCGAGGGTGTGTAGGAGACGTGCTTGTCGGTAGCGGGTGATGAGGTATGTTCACAAGCTTTCCAACATTCACATGCAATTGCGTCGTCCCGTATGATCGTACATTGCCGTACGTATGTTCCAGACGTACCTTTGGCGCCCTCCGGACGAGACGGAGCTTCCATCCCTAAATCTCGCTGCCGCCGCCGCCGCCGGCGGAGGAGGAGGAAGAGGAAGGCCGCGTGGCGGCGGAATTGCCGACAACACCGACAGCGGCGGCGGCGGCAGCGGCGGAGATTCCCACTGGTCAGCGACACCAGTGGACGCCGCCGCCGCCACCGCCAGGGTCAGGTCCAGCGGCGCCGGCATTGGCGGCGGCGCAGAGAGCACCCAGGTTTGTGTCCGCGCGAGGTGTCGTACTCGTTCAATACTCGTCCAATACTCGTCCACTACTAGTCCACTACTAGTCCAAAACCTTCGGAGGTTTTCGGAGTTTTTATTTCTGGCGCAGTTTCGGTTAAAACCTGCCTAGTGTACGGCAGATTGAAAACACGAATTTGGGTATCTGCGCTTGGCGTTCCAAAAGCCCTTCCGTATACTTCTTTCCCCTCCCCTTGATATGTACATACATGCATAAATACAGACTGACATATACAAATGTATACTTCCAATAAATCCAATATGATTCCAATAAATCCAATATATAATGTATAATGTATAATGTATATATATATTATTTTACATATTATTATTTTATATATTCTTATTTTATTATTTTATATATTATTTATCTATTTTTATATTTTTATATATAAAATAAAATATATTTCCAATATAAGTCCAATAAACAATCCAATAAATCCATATACAAATGTATACAACTGCACACTTCCCCAGGTTCCTTCCATATCGCAACTGCTTCAAGACGAGCTGCTGGCGTCAGCCAACGACATCGCGCTAACTGAACGCCGTACATGTACGGCAGCCATGTCCAGTGAGGAGGCGTTTCTAGTGGCGACGCTTCTTCACAGCGGAATCACCGCCGGCCCCTGCGGTGCCGACGGGCTGTAGCGGCAGTAGTGGTGCTTGCGGCAGTAGCAGCAGCAGGACACGTATCGCACTAATGCTGTACGGCGACATTCCACTTGGCCTCCACAGTGCAGCAGCAGCTGACGAGGAGGAGGGCGATGGCAATGCTGCTGCTGCTGCTAATGATGATGATGTAGCAGTAGAGCAGCGGTACCCGGGTCGATAGCCACCAATGTCTACGGCAGTAGCGGTATATCTAAATCACATGAGGCAGCACCAGCAGCAATAGCAGTAGCGACAGAACGAAAGAAATGAAAGCAGCGGGAATACGGCACTTGCAGCAGGACGAGCAGCAGCAGATTGCCGGTACGGCGACATGTAGCAGAATAAGTAGGGCGCGAGTAGCAGTAGGTGCAAACAGCCTTATGCAACCCTTGCCGAGCTGCCGTACATTCCGGGGCGTGGCAAATAAGGCGGCAAGGTTACATACATACACATACACACACGGGCTAAGCAACACAGCAAACACCATCTGTTTGCCCATAAGCACAAACGGATTGGTTGTTCTGTTGGCTATCCGGATGTTTACCGACATATTGACACACACACACACCTGTACGTTTTCAGCGCGACCTTGGGACTTACAACTAGTTGTCGGTTTGGTCGGATCGGTTGGTTTGCCGGTTGTTTGGTGGATGATCTGACGCTTCAGGTACATTTAATGATTTAAAAACAAGGAACGTTTTTACGCTCTGTGTGTTTGTATGTTTGTATGTATCGGTGCGACTCCCGACGCACTCCTGCAAGGTACCTGCCGTTGGCAGTTGGTGGTTGGCAGTTGGTGGTTGGTGGTTGGGACCATAAATGCGACGTGGGCGCCAAATGCGACCCCACGCCCACTTGCTCCCCCCTGGACATGCGCGGCGGGCCAAGGGGAGGTAGGTGAAGTGGAGATAAGCGGAATAAGAGGGGGGCGTCGCAGTGGGGCGGTGGGGCGGTGGGGCGGGTAAAGTGTGTGTGTAAGGAGAGGGTATATGAAGAGCGATGCAAACACACCATCAACATGTACACATACATACATGCATACACACACACGCGCGCAACCCACCCGTGTATGTATATGCGCGTATGCTATGTGTCATTGAACCCCCTCAAATCACGTGCCTTCTCTCCCCCCCCCCGCCGGCCTCAGCTCGTAATATGAGACCGGTGGGTGACCTGAGCTGTTCTGTTGTTGCAGTTGCAGTTCTGAGGGCGGCAGGGCGGTAGAGGTCGCTTCTGTGTGTTCTTTTGCTTTGTTACGATGTCCCCCGGAGGACGTCTGAAGGTCATCTGGATGAGGAACGGGGAGGAGAGGAGGAGGGGGGGGGTGTCGAAACAGAAAAGGTTTAAATGGGGGTGAAGAGGCGACACGTGTGTGTGTGTGGGGGGGGGGGGAAGGAGGTCTCCGGAGGCTGAGGGGGAACTGAGGCGAGGTCGGTTGGGGGGAGGAGGAGGTGGAGGCGGGGAGTAAAAGGATGGGGGACTTCGCGCAAGTTATTGTGCGAATTATTTGTGTGTGAGAGCGCCTTGTTAGCCCCCTAGCCCTTTGAGCAGGGGAATGGCGCGGCAGTGGGGGTGATTAGGGTTTTTGATAAAGTGAGGTGGTGGCTATGGTGGTAGTGCTGGGTGCTGGAAGGGTGATCTGGGAGCCGGCAGCCGGGCTGTGGAGTGAGCTGGAGCTTCTCAGTTGGTGGCGTTATCTATGTAGCGTGTTTTTGATAATGTAGTGGGCGATGCGGTGGGGGGGTGATACATGTGGTGTAAGTCCACGTGGACGTGTGATTACTTTTAAAAAGGTAGAGATCCGTCTGAGGCACTTTCTGTGCAACCTCCGTGTTTGAATAATAAAATATAAAGTGTGCAAATTCAAATGGGGGATACGTCAGGTTGTGCACTTTGATGCTTTTTAAGGAATTGCATCATTTAATTCGTCGCGATCGTTGTGTGAGATAGATGAGTAGGAGTTCTTTCTTGACATGTGCACCAAAAAGACTAAGATGTACGTTGTCCTGTTGAGCTGTTGCCAATGTGCTGTGTTTCCATGTCTTCCCGTGGTTTGTGAAGCGACAATCCTCCAAACTGATATGCATGTGTTGTTGCAACGAAAGGGAGGGGGCCCTTCCAACCTTCCTATCCAATCCCGTGCTTTGCTTTGTTCAAGGTGTTTTTAATATTGACAGCGGAGGTACTACCCTTGAGGGCGTTACAGACCGCGGGGCTTGCGAAAAAGGAACAGGAGTCCCCGCCCCTGCCCCCCCTCCCGACCGCAGGGGTGCCCCCCGTGTATTATCTCCTTCCTGACTCCCTCCATCTTCCACCTCTACTCGCGTTGTCGTACGAGGCCATCACTAACCAACTATAACCACCATTCTTTTGCCGCCAGCATGCTCGGGGAGCCACCCACTAGGCGCTGGTATTTTACCTGGCCCACGGTAAGTATTACACCCGTCGTACACGCACGTGCACATGTACTGCTAACTTGTTTCCAGATCATTGGAATCGTGGAAATGGCCGTTAAGGATTTACGTTCCGACAGCAACAAAGGAGGATTCGGACATCTTAACGTCGTCTGTGTACACCGATGACCCTGTTTCTGCTTGGGTCTGGTCTGGTCGGGTAGATGGACGGGCAGTCTGGAAGGGCAAGATGTTGGTATGGTGGCGACCTCTCACCCAGAGGTCAGTGACTAAATTAAGACAAGGATGGATGCTCATGTCACACACACAAGAGGAAGAAGGCTCCGCGTCGGGTAATGGTGGGGGCAGGCGACGGGGGGAAGTGAATCAGCTTGTTCCGGTACTGCACGTGCTTCTGGAGCATATCAGGGCGACTGGGGACTTCCCACGGCAGTTTACAACTACCGTCCTCACCCCTATTTACAAGAAGGGGGACCCCAGCATGCCGAGTAACTACCGGGGCATAGCAGTAGGGGGCGCTTTGGCGAAATGTTATGCGCTGGTCCTCCTGGATAGGCTCGTTCGCACAGGGGAGACGCTCTCACTTAGGCATCGAGGCCAAGCGGGTTTCAGAAGAGGTTTCGGTACTACACATCATCTCTTTGCCAAGCAGTACCTTACTACTAGGCACAGTCAACCGGGACAGCGGCCGTTAATCATCGTGCAAATTGACTTTGAGAAGGCGTTTGACAAGGTGCCGCGGGAGATAATGTGGCTTCGCTTGCAAGAGAGAGGGGTTGAAGGGTCCATGCTGCAGTCGCTGATGCGGGCATATGATAAGGTTACGATGGTCATCAAGACGAATGGCAAGGCTGGAGGTGAATTTGAGTCAAAACAGGGTGTGAAACAAGGCTGCCCACTATCTACTGAGCTGTTTGGGCTCTACATTGAGACCCTCGCGGACGTCATCGATATGCACGACGGTATTACTACCGGGGCACGGCCAGAGGATGCACCGGAGGTTGGAAATGAGCGAGTGTCCATCCTTCTCTATGCCGACGACGTTAGCCTTCTGGCAACAACACCAGGACGCATGGGAGAGTTGCTCAACATTGTGGACATGTTCTGTGACGATTTTGGGATGTGCCCAAATGTGTCGAAATGTGAACGCCTCGTTTTTGCGAGTGACAGCGACACTAGAAGTGCTGTCCAAGCATCGTGTGATGAGCTCAGGCTGGCTGGGGAGGCCATACCGGCTAAGGATAGTGCACGATATCTGGGGTTAGTGTATGGGCCGGAACGGCAGTTCTGGGCCTGCCGCCAGCAGTTGTATGACACAGCTAGAGCAGCTATGTTCGCGTTGAGTGCAAAATTAGATAAGCTGAAGTTGTTCGCCCCAGATGTGAGGATGAGGTGTTTCGATACGCAGGTACGAGCAATACTGTTGTATGGTTGTCAAGCGTGGGGGCCGTTTATGCTAGCTGAGGTCTCGGACAGGCTCAGGAAGCGGAGTGATGCGAATAACCTTGCAGAGGGGCCCTTTGAGGCGTGCCTAAAGGACAGGGCAGTGCAGCTTCAGATATCTTTCATGCGGCAAATTGTAGGAGCTGCCAGACCAACACACCGCCTCTTGTTCGCAGAGCTATCGCAGCTACCCCTACACTACCACGTTCTCAAGCAGGTTGTGAGGTTTTGGAACCATGTCCGTTTACAGCGTGGGTCTGTGGCATACCAAGTTTTGCGACAGGAGGTCGCAGAATCCCTCTCCAACCCCGAAGGGCCCGGATGGGGGACACTACTCCTCCGTTTTCTATGTTTTTTGGGGCACGATGTATGGAAAGAGGCCCCACAAGGGCTACACGAGGTAGACGAACGAGTGGAGTGGCTGATGAACAAACCAATGCCAGAAGGTGTGATTTTGGAGTTCAAGGACCGATTAATGAGTGGTTGGAAGCATACGCGTTTAGATGTCCAGCCTGACGTGTATCCGTCAGACGGCAAGCAACCAGGAATTCACATGGCGAAGTATAAGCATTGGATGGGGCTGGCGGCCGAGCAAGCGGGCAGGAAGGAGGTGCTCCCGCACATCACAATGTTTATCCCGCGTTCCGCGAATCGCAAGCTTATGCAGTTTAGGCTTTGCTGTTGGGCACTGGCGGCTAACAGAGCGCGTAAGGGACGGCGTTATATACCTAGGGAGGAGCGAGTATGCCCTTGCTGCGGCACTGATAGCCATATCGAGGATGAGAAACACATTTTGCTGGACTGTCCGGCATACGACGAAATCAGATCTGATATGGGCTTTCCACGCTTCGAGCACATGAAGGACGCTATGAAGTGGGAACCTGAACGCCTGGCAAGGATGCTGGAACGCATATGGTCTCACCGCAACTCTATCGTTCCCTTTGGTCGTTAGTATACTTCATCACTTGTTTCGCTGGAAGTGCGAGGTAGGATGGTGCTTATAGGCGATTTGGCAGCCCTTGAGCCCTCGGCTCGTACTAGGGTGGTTTGCAGGTACGGGGAACGCACCCACGACCATGTAACAACAACAACAACAACACACACAAAAAAAAACTTGAAGGCGACTGATAACAAAAAATGGTAGCTGGACAACACACACACACACACAGACATGCATGTGTGTTTCGGGGGAGAGGGTGTAAGCCATCATCGAGACATCTCAGGGTGAGCCTGTGGAGGTGGAGGGACAACTAGATATCGCCACCTAACCCCACTCGCCAATGAATGCCCCCAAGAAACAGAAACAGCAAAACTGTACGTGGGGCTCCCCTGCAGGCCGCCGCCACACATCAACACACCTTTCAGACACATACATGCCACCCCGCCACCAGCACTGGCAGGTTTAGTACGCAACGGTGCCCCCATACATACATACATATATGGGTATATACACATACACATATGTGTATATATATGCCAGAACAACGACACACGTTTCTCTTTCCCCCTGCCAGGGAAGGGTGCCCGGTCCACACACGCATAAGGGGTTTAGGGTTTGTGCACCCCCAGAACCATTCAGGGGGTCCTGTACCCGGGGAAAGAAAGAAGCACCGAAACCACCAAGTCCGTCTGACAGCTTCACGTACGTCAATAACATTGCCGTACCTAGCTAGCCATAGCACACACACACACGCACACACACAGAGACAGGCCAGCTTCCGCCAATCTACGGCCCCCACCAGAGCCTTCAGCAGAGCGCCATCTCTTCGGTGGTTTGGTGGTTTTTATCTCCGGGCGGTCATGTCCAGGTCGCATTCAGGACTGACCCTTACAGAACCAACGCCAACACCCCATCCATTCATCCATCCATACTTCCCCACCGGATCCATACTCCCCCCCCCAGGATGGCGAGACGAACGAAGTCTCCGCACCTCCCCCTCATCACCCCTGTAAAGCCCCTCCGCCATGTCCAGAACCTCAGCAGCAGCAGCAGCAGCAGCGTGCATGCCATGCAAACGGAGAAGGTGTCGTTGCCACACACACATCCGCTCCCTCGAGAAAGAGTAGGAGCGGAGACGAAGACGGACCGCTGTCCAGGGTGCACTCAGCGACTCGGTACCGACTCGGCCAACGCCGCACGGCGGTCTGTGTGAGTAGTGCAGCATACACATACACATACACGCACCTCATCATCACCTTTTCCCCGCCCTGACGGCGACAGAAGGCCGACAGAACGACAGAGTGTTTTCTTCTCTTCACCTAACCGCTAACCAACCTTACCTGCTTATTACCTAGATCTCTGACAGCCCCCCTTCCCCCTCCCCTCCCCCCCCCATGTGTCTATTTCCCCTCCAACAGCCAACACCCTGTACGCCCGGAGAATGTAAAGTGTTGGATTAGAACTAAACCAAAAAGTCAGTGTCCAAATTAGCGCAACGACTTCCCTCAAAAGAGTGAAATTAAGTGAAGTCCGAAACCGTAACTGTCCTTAAAGAAATAAGCCTGGCACACCCCCCAAACGCACCCCTCACCACGTGCGCCCTCATTCGGTCGTCCCCGGGCTGAGCCAAGTCCCATACATACCATGTAATCCAAGATGGCACACGAAATCCAAGATGGATCCTGCATACCCCGGGGCCCCCGCTCACATCCCCATCAATCCTCTGATTAAAAATACCTCCGCCCCACACCCGGGTGACGGGTTAGGCTAACGATTTTTACAGACCCGATTACTCTTGTCCGAGCAGCATTATCCGGAGCGCACAACGGGCAATGCCCCCCCCCACGGGGCGCTGCCTGCCCCGCGGGGAAAGCGAAACCCAAATCGAGTGGAGAAACACCGCCCGGCCGCACCCTCTGCTGCTGCGGCTGCTGACCACTGCTTTCCCACCGCTCCCTCTGACGCCCCTGCACCTGCCCCTGCTGCGCCTGCTGTTACTGCAGGCACTGTTCCCCTTCCCCCACAAGGCCGCCACAGCCGGCTGGCCCGCCAAGTTCCCAACTGGCTTACCCCCTCCGCCGCCGCCATCGCTGGAGAGCCGCGGCCACCACCGCCGCCGCCGTCCCTGCTTTCATTTAACTGCAGTGCGGCAGTGTAATGCCCACTCCCACTGAAAGCGCCCTCCCACTGTGTATGAGACGGACAAGGACGCTCTCTCCCACGTCAGCGGAGACGTAACCCGGGGGGGGCGGGGGTCGCCTCTCCGTACCGGCCTCCGCCCGCAATCAGATCGCCCTCCTCCTCCGAGTCGCCAAGCTCACCATCACCACCTTCTTCCCCCTCCTCCTCCTCCCCCTCCTCTCACGACTCAACAACACACAGCGCTCCCCTCAGCGCTGACCCTCAATGTCGGCCGACAAGTGTAAACTCATGATCCTCCATCACCCGAACACCTCGGCAGCCCGGGATGTGCTCCTGAACGGCCATCAGCAGCGCCGCGCCCTTTTCCCGCTGTTGCCGGTCCAACGGCACGTACGGCAGTCGGAAAACTGGTTTGACGAGGCCGCACATGGCCAGAGCGGTATTGAGGGCAATGGGGTTGGGCTCGCAGAAGAGCCAGGCAAAGAGCTCCTTCAAGGAGGAGTTCAGGGCGGTATCCGGCTGGCTGCCGTGCATGAGTTGGTTCATAAGGCCCGGGATGACGTTGGAGGTGACGGAGATGACGCCGACGGCGCCGGCGCTGTGTCGCGCGTCGTGAGATTCGTCGTCGTTGCCGGACCTGCGGGGTAGGGGGGAGGGTAGGGGGAGGAGAGGGGGACATCAGACTGCGATAGAAGGATAAGAGGAGGAAGACGAGGAGTAGGGAGAAGGGAGAGAGAAAAGGAAACGGAGGCGTATAGAGGCACCAACTCTTGAGAGCAGAGGGGAAAGAGAGTTTCTGTGAAGGGCTGTATGTACTCGTATCATTGAGGGGCGGGAGGAGGGGAAAGGCGACGGGGGATGTCTGCGTTTGTGTGTGTTTGCGTTAAGGGGGAGGAAACCGGCCAAGCATATCCATAGGAGCGGGAGTTGCGCTCTTGGCTCAGGTCCCATCGAAATTCAAAAAATATTCAAAAATGAAGCCCCATCCTTCTGGTTCTTGGTTTAGCATCACGTAGTTGTAATACCCCATTCCTAAGTCTCCGTTGATCTCAAGAGTACAACGAAAGGCCGAGTAAAATCACTTGGGCGGCGCACGTGCCTCCCCAGCCCGCCAGTTGCGTACCAGCAGTTGACGCCGCGGGTGACGTAGTTCTTGATCCGCGCATTCCCAGTGCATTCCTTCATGCCTAGGAAATTGCTGTGCTTACTGATCTCAAGGACAACGTCGTCGGGAATGTCCTGGCCAGTGCGACCCGGCACATTGTACACAATCGCCGGACCCTCATTAAGCACAGCATTGAAGTGATTCAACAGGCCGGCCTTGCTGGTCTTGCCGTAATACGGATTGATCTGTAGGGATGCGTGCATGCCCACAGCGAAGCCCTGCTCTGTGGCGTGCAGCGCCTCGCGTGTTGAGTTCGAGCCGGTATTGCCAATTACGGCGAGCTGGCCACCAAAGGCGTTGACAGTGTGTGCAATAAGCATAACGTGCTCATCCCATGACATGAGATGACCCTCTCCGGTGGTCCCGCCGACGATGAGGCCCTCCACACCGTTTGCTATTTGCCGAGAAACCAGCGCATCGTATGCTGGTAAGTCAAACTTGCCGTTTGGCAAGTAGGGAGTTTTTACAGCTGTCACGAGACGTATTTTCTTCAACCTATCTACTGTAGAGCGGGTCTCGGAAGCAGGGTGCGGTGCAAGCACTGCCTCCACCGTGACGGCGAAAGATCGGCGCCGCTGGGCACCGGCACACCGTAAGGCAGAGCTACGCGAAATCATTGACGTTTGGAACGCCATAGCAAATTTAGTTGTAAACGGCATTCCGAAGCCACAGGAAGTTACACAAAGAGTACCCCTGCGTAGGGCCCACTGAGATGGAACTGCGGATTAGTTGTTGCTCCATAGGTAAATGCCATTTTTTATGCCATTTTCTGTTACAAATAATGAAAGAGAGAAAAGGACTGAGAGGCCCGAAGAAGACGGGCCTTACGAACAACAAAAACAACAAGCGCGCGCTGAACAACAAAAACAAGATAAGCTAACCAGCTTAATGCGCGCAATAAATGACGGCCCTGAGGACACGGGCCGTTGCGAAACAGTTAGTCTAACAGTTACGCATTGGGCCTTACGCCCAACTAACCTAGCTTACTTACGCAAGCTCGCATTCGACATGCTGTGGTGTTTCCAATTGCACAGTGTATGGAATTGAGTCTGAAGCCATGAGCTGAGGTACAAATGTGTGGCTTGTTCTCAGGCAATATTGTCCTCCAAATCCGCATACGCATGGTTACTGGATTCCTTCGCATGGGAAAAATTGAAATCCAGTTGCAATTCCATATATGAATTAAGTTGCTTGAGGACTGCAACGGCATCCGCGATTCGGAGGTGGTGCAGATAGGTAACCACCAGCCCCACCAGGTGGGATAGTTGCAAAACATAATTATGTCGTGTTAAATACGTAACTGTCTACGTCACTTAATAGTTTCCAGGAATCAGACGTTGCGATGTGCTAAACTTGTGACCTATTTATTGAAAATGCTTTGCCTAGAAGTAAGGAATAATAAACGAAACTGTGAACTTCACATTGATTGCTGATTTGCAACGCAAAGACTCTTCATCCGTACAGCAACTAGGGACCGCGGGGTCCAGCTATTCTAACCGCAACCTTGGGTCTCTTCACAAATAGTTAACCCTGGCTGAAGCCTAAATTTTACGGCTCCACCTTACACTGAATCGCTCTCCTTAGGACGCCATCCTCTAGCTGCGACATGCGCTCACGATGAACCGAGACAGGGAGGAGCGCCAGCCACCGCAGGAGCGGCCGGAGGGCTCCCTGCTCTACTCTTCTGGAAATTGGAGGCCACCAGGAGCAAGCCTGCTGCCCAACCCTCTCAACAGCCTAGGTCGCCCAGGCAGCGCTGCGCGCCCATCATGGGCGGCAGCCACCCGGCGCGAGGCCGCACCCGCTGGCACCCCCGGGCTGCCTACAGGCGGTGCTAAGACCCCACCCATGTTGCTGGCAGCTGCGTCCCGTACAATTGGCGAGGTAAGACAACCTGTCTCCTCCCTCTCCATTTCACTCGCCATGTACATGTGTGACCATGTCTGTTGGACTGTTCAACCTGCGGGCATCCACGTGAGTGATATGAGGAAGAGGGCGGGGCAGAAGAGCTCGACCCCAGGGCCAGGTCCACGCCCAGGACAAGGAGTAAGGACAGGCACAGGGCCAGGGAAGCCACATTAGTTAGGGCCATTTGCCAGGGCGACAGGGCGACAGTGCGACAGTGCCAGAGCCGGGAGCTGGGGTCGGCACGGATTAACTCTGCGACCCCCCCAACAAACTTCCCGGACGTCTGTCGGCGGCACCCCGGGGCAATACCCCGGCAGATGGCCGGGGGGGGGTAACGGAGAGGAGCTGGACCATTGCCGATTTCAATGTCCATGCCATGCATGGGCAAGTCCCGGCATATACCTGCAGCGCCATCTGGCCCAGGTCCAGGACGGGGAGGTACCTCCCCCCCCCCTCCCCCTAGTCAGTTGGGGTAG